TTCCATTCGGCCCACACTATTCAAACTTCAGTGGATGATTGTACATATCGGGTAGAAGACACCTATGGATTTTGGGGCCACAAGGTTAAAGGTCAAGGTCACTATTACCTTAAAATTGAAAACAGTTTCTGGAGCATAACTTAAGTTCCATTTGGCCAACAATACTCAAACTTCATAGGATGATTGTCTATATTGGTTAGAATACCCCTATTGATTTTGGGATCACAAGGTCAAAGGTCAAGGTCACTATTACCTTAAATCTGAAAACAGTTTCTGGGGCATAAATTAAGTTCCATTTGGCGCACAATATTCAAACTTCAAAGAATGATTGTCCATATTAGGTAGAAGACCCCTATCGTTTTTGGGGTCACTATTACCGTAAAACTTATAACAGTTTCCGGAGCATAACTTAAGTTCCACTTGGCCCACAATATTCAAACTTCATAGGATAATTGTCCATATTAGGTAGAAGACCCCTATTGATCTTGGGGTCGCAATGTCAAAGGTCAATGTCATTATTACCTTGAAACCTGAAAACTGTTTCCAGGGCATAACTTAAGTTCCATTTGGCCCACAATACTCAACTTCATAGAATGATTGTCGATATTGGGTAGAAGATCCCTTTTGACTTTGGGGTCCCAAGGTCAAGAGTCAAGGCCACTTTTACCTTAAAACTGAAAACAGTTTTCGGAGCATAACTTAAGTTCTACTTGACAGGATGATTGTCCATATTGGGTAGAAGACCCCTATTGATTTTTTGGTCACAAGGTCAAGGTCACTATTACCTTAAAACTGAAATCAATTTTTTCTCAATTACTTAAGTATTAATCAACCTACAGCTGTAATAGGATGAATAGCCATGTCCAATACATGACCCCTATTGAATTAAGGCTAAAAAAATCAAACGGCAGGGTAACAATGACCTTATCACTGAAAATTGTGGTTTCTGGGGCATAACACAAGTTCCATGTGGCTTACAGTGTTCAAACTTCATAGGATGATTACCTATATTGAATAAAAGATCCATATTTATATAAGGTCAAAGGTCAATATCAAATGATCTTAATATTGTTAACAGTTTTACAACTGTCACACTTCATAGGATGACCATTTCTTATATTGACTACATTAATTATATGCCCTAAAAAATTTGGTTATATTATGTTTTATACCTGGCGGCTATCTGTCCATCTGTCATAGTAAAATTATTTAATCCCCATGTCTTACAAATGCTTCATCCTTAGTAAAAAATCACTTTTGGGCAAATACTGCTCCGTCTAGAAGTATTATTTACTCAATTGTACTCAAAACTTGGTCAGGATACTTGCTCGGATGTGTTCGAACATCTCGGATGAAAAACTAGGTCACAGGAGCTAAAAAATAGAAAAATCTTCTTAACACTAGTGGCTACTGTTTTAATCCAAGTATCCCGGAAATTGGTCTGAAAGTTTGTTGTGATGATTTCTAGGTCAAGTTTGAATATGAGTCACCTTGGGTGAAAAACTAGGTCACACGGCCCAAATATGTAAAAACCTTGTTAACACTTTAGTGGTCGCATTTTTTACTCAATTGTCATCAAACTTGGTCAGGATGCTTGTCTAGGTAGTTGCTCGGATAATTTTGAATACATGTCATCTCGGATGAAAAACTAAGTCACAGGAGCTAAAAAAAGAAACATGTTGTTAACACTCTAGTGGCTACTGTTTTGATCCAAATATCCTGGAAATTGGTCTGAAAGTTCGTTGTGATGATTCCTAGATCAAGTTTAAATATGAGTCACCTCGGGTCAAAAACTAGGTCACACTGCTCAAATATGGATAGTCCTTGTTAACACTCTAGTGGTCACATATTTGACCCACCTCTCATAAAACTTGATCAGAATGCTTGTAATTGTTCGGATTAGTTTGATGTGTCAGGTGAGCGATCTAGGGTCATCTTGGCCATCTTGTTTAATAACTTCTTTATTTCTAAATGTATCTACTTCAAACTCTATATCTATGTTTCTTATTATCACTCGAATCATTTGTGAGAAAGTTCAGTACTCTATAAAGACTATTTCCATATTTTTTCCCATTTAACTTAGATTTTTTTTCGAGAAATTGGTATTTTTCACTCCAACTTCTTCATTCCTTATAAGATTTACTTTTTTAACTCCCACATCATAACATCATGATAAGGTTTATATCTAGAATCTATATTTCAAGAATAATGTCCCCCTTAAACTTTTAATTTTTCTTATTCATTCTTTCACTTTCTTTTTTCTTCATTGATTTACTTCAAATTCAAACAAACATTCATTATCAACACCTGCATTACAATATATATATATATATATATATATATATATATATATATATATATATATATAAAGGGAGATAATTAAATTCAATACAGTTATACTTTCCCCTGCGTGGGAGCACTTAAGATACAAGTGTGCAGATAGATTGTTATAGAAATGAGAGAATATATACACACATACCACCACATCGATATGCCAGTCCAATTACGGCACAGCGCCTAGCAGAACAGTCATGAAAGCATAGCCACTGCTCATCCACCATCACAAAATGATGGTTTCAGAACAGTTTTATATACAGTCACAAACTGCACTACACATTGAAACAAGCTCAACATTCGCATATATAGAGTTTGTTCTCTGCTATCATGTCTCACAAATCAACGATGCCAATTTTATTGTCTTCTTCACTGATTGGGACCAGAGAACTATATATCTATTTCCGAAAGTCAACTGGATCCCGTAAGATCAAGTAGATCCGTAGGATACAATGAATTTAGACAGATAAAGTATATATAAAGGGAGATAATTAAATGAAAAATAATATATATATATATATATATATATATATATATATATATATATATATATATATATATATATATATATATATATATATATATATTATTTTTCATCTCTGTTACTATACATGTTAATGGTATGTTTGAAAATTATAATTTTTTTCACTTTTCTTCTTTGTGACTATAAATGGTATCTTTAAACTTAAAATAATTGTTATTTGTTACACTCACATCATGTATGACAATATTTGTATGTCTAGCATCTTTATTTCAAGAGTTATCTCCCCCTTTAAGAATTTTTCTTTTAAACATATTATATTTTGGTAACAGGGATGTTTGAAAAAATAACTTTGGAGTGTCTTTCAGTCCGTCTTTCTGTTCATAAAAACTGTTTCCTGAGATCGTTTTTAAAGAACTTTTGAAACATTAGTTATGCTTATTCATCCTGAGAAAACTAAACCTTTTGGTTATCTGTTGTATATACATTAATTCCCTTACTAGGCAGGGAAACTTAAACATTTATGATTACTATGATACAGACAAACTAAGAACTCAAAAGATTTAATACCATACATGTCATTCATTCATTCGATTGCATAATTGAATGGCCAATGGCCCTTCAAAATGTTGCTGAGGTTCTAACTGGTAGGGGACTTATGGCTTGCTTGAAATACTATGATAATTGCTTGTATTTCATTGACGCGCCTTAGTATAACGCTAACATTAGGGGTATTTACACTATGTTTGTATGATGTAAATGACGTCACGTCAAAATATATACACGGCCTTGCAATTCCATATTTACGGAGTTAGGAATGGGTATGTGATAGATAGCTTGAACACTATACTTTTTAGCTCAGGGTGAGTTTTAGGATCGTTGAATGTCCGTTGGACGTTGTCCGTTGTCTATCGTCTGTTGTCTGCCCAATCAAACTTTGTCAGGATGCTTGTCTAGGTAATTGCTCTGATGAGTTCGAACATGGGTCATTTCGGATGAAAAACTAAGTCACAGGAGCTAAATATACTAAAAATCTTGTTAACACTCTACTGGCTACTGTTTTGATCTAAATATCCTGGTAATTGGTCTGAAAGTTTGTTGTGATGATTTCTTAGTCAAAGAAAGAATTTGGGTCAACTGGGGTCAAAAACTAAGTCACACCACCCAATTAATGAAAAACCTTGTAAGCACTCTAGTGGTCACATTTTTTACTCGATTGTCATTAAACTTTGTCATGATGCTTGTCTACGTAACTGCTCGGATTAGTTCGAACAGATGTCATCTCGGATAATAAACTAGGTCACAGGAGCTAAAAAAAATTATGTTCAACCTCTAGTGGCTACAGTTTGATCCAAATATGCTGGAAATTGGTCTAAATGTTTGTTTTTTATGATTTTTAGATACAGTTCGTATTTGTGTCACCTGGGGTCAAAAACTAGGTCACGCTGTCCAACTAAGGAAAAACCTTGTTAAACTTTAGTGGTCACATTTTTGACTCAGTTGTCATCAAACTTGGTCAGGATTTTTTTCTAGGTAATTGCTTGGATGAGTTTGAACATGGGTCATCACAGATAAAAAACTAGGTCACAGGAGCTAAAAATAGAAAAATCTGGTCAACACTCTAGTGGCTTCTGTTTTGATCCAAATATCCTTGAGATAGGTCTGCAAGTTTGTTTTGATAATTTATAGGTCTAGTTTGAATATGGGTCACATGAAGTCAAAAACTAGGTCATACGGTCTAAATGTGGGAAAACCTTGTTAACGCTCTAGTGGTCACATTTCTGAATCAAATGTCATCAAACTTGGTCAGGATGCTTGTCTAGGTAATTGCTCAGATGAGTTCGATGGGTCAGGTGAGCAATATAGGGCCATCTTGCCCTAATATTTATAAACACTGAATCATTTAAAATCGAAAATGGCTCAATGTGATGATGAACATTCCACCTTTCTTACCCCGATTATTTGCAGTTGAAAAACTATATTTATTTTCTGAAATCAAGTTCACAAATAATTATACAATGCATCAGAATTCTGAAAAAAGACGTTCTGATATTTAACAAAGGTCGTATTATCATTTGAATTTACGGCACTTGTGATTTCCACTATCTACAAAATTAAAAACGCTAAGCGGTGATCATTTTAATGTATGTTAAAAAATGATTAAAAAACACACATTTATTTGCAGATGAAAAAGAGGTTAAAGCTGGAGTCATTATCATTGTTTATGTTGTTGGTGGTCTTTTTGTTTTATCTGTGGCGGCGTTTTGCTTTTTTACCTTACGTCAATATAGAAGAAGACGCAAAAGGTAAGTATTTTAAGGTTCAAGTTGCCTGACTACTAAGTATTTAGAAATGGAACAAAAGAACAGTAAATGAATAACTAACAAATTGAATTATGATTTAAAGAATAAATGTAGTTGACACAAAGTGTCAATCCTTGATATTTAACATTAACAAAAAATAATGAAAAACTTTGGAATCACCCAAAATCTAGTTTTTCCATGTTAACATGTGGTCTCTCACCTAATTTTGGTGAAAAATTGTTGTTTTGTAACATTTATAATTTTTTTAGTTAACCCTTTCCCTCATGAGCATATTGTGAAAAATGACCGTTTTCACTGAAAAGCCTCCTGTTACAAGTTCAAACTGCCATGAAACTATGAAAAATGCTTCAATACTAATCAAACTTGGCACAAATGTTGACTGGATCATCCATTGCCTTTGTAATGACATGCTCAGTCTTACATTTCCTGTTACTATGGCAACGAGGGTACATCTCAAAATTGCCAAAAATCACTATTTTGCCTCGACTTTTTCCATCAAAATTGATTTCAAAGTGCTGCAACAATCTCAAGGGATTGAGATAGAGTCAAAGGCTTTTCAGCGTTGGTTACACGTTACCTTATGATCGACCTGGGGTCATTTTTAGCCTCTCACAAGTCCAAAATTTTCTTGGCGATGAGAGGGACTCCGCCCCCTTCAAATCCCCCAAACAGAAGGGGACACATCCCCCTTCTGGCAGGCACATCCCCCTTCTGGCAATCCCCTGATGAATCTTTTGGATGGGGGGGGGGGGGGCGGCACCGAAAAAAAGCTCACATTTTTTAGCAACATTTCTCAAACGAAAACATGTGTTTGGGGCCCAAATATGACTTTTTTTTACTATTTCAGGCCTACAAAAGGGGGGGGGGGTCGAAAGTGAGTTGTTTCGTGTATATATGAGGTAAAGGGTTAAGAAATAAATGATTTTTGCCTAATTTTCATGATAAATGTAGTTTTGCATATCAAAATATGGCCCACTTCTGGGCTGTGTCTATATAGATTAGCTAGATTATTTGTAGATTCATACAAATAGCATTATAAAGGAAAAACACATGGATGTATTCAGGTTATTAGTTACCATCCAAGAAAAATGATCGAATTTCTAAATATTATTTTTAAGGTAAGTTTTTTAGCTCACCTGAGGACAATTTTCTCATGGTGAGCTTTTGTGATGGCCCATTGTCCGTCGTACATCGTCAGTGCTTGTGTGCGTCAACAATTTCTTTAAACAACTTCTCCTCCTAAACCACTTGACCCAATTTGTTGAAACTTTGCAGGTATGTCTCTTGCATTAATACAAAAATCTTAAAAAATCGAAAGTGGGAGAGATTAGATCTTTCGCATGAAATATCTTCTAGTGGATGTCTACCAAGTTTGTTCAAATAAAAGCCCTAGGGTCAAATTTGGCCCACACAGGGGTCATAGATATTCTATGTAGGTATATAGTAAACCAAAATAATATTCTTGTGGAAATCCAAAAGAGTTAGAGCTTAGATATTTGGCATGACACATGTTCTAGTTAATGTCTACCAAGACTGTTCAAATAAATGCCCTAGCATCAAACTTGCCCCGGCCCCAGGGGTCATTGATTGTTCTTGTGGATGTTTATAAAGTCTGTTCAAATGAAAGCCCTAAGGGTCAAATTTGGCCCGGTCATTGATATTCCTTAGTGGTATATCGATGGCTTAACGCAATAAGGGCGTAACTACATTATTGAAAATTTTACAGTAGAGCAAAAAAAAAACAACTCATTTTCTTGTTTTTGTATATTCCCACTACATTATTTTGTTTTGTGATATGAAAGTATACATTCTAAATACTAGTATCACTTATAACAACATCAAAATTAGTAACGTAAAAAACAGTTTATTTGCCATTTTATTACTTATGCCCTTGCTGCATAACTTTTACATATAATTTGAGAGATAATATTATATGCAATAAGGGTGTAAGTATACTTACGCCCATATTGCAGTAAGATTTACATTAAACATTGGCATTGTTTGTTATGCAATATGGTACCATGTCTACATATAATTCAATCAAAATAGAGTAGTTAACGTGTTCAATGATTTTTCAAGAAATAACTAAAAGTCTTCATCAATGTATTTACAATTCTAGAATGTGACATCGAAATTTATACCTTCTGACGTAATATTCAGACCTTAATTATATGATAAATGCATAACTTATTTTATTCAATATATTGAAATATATGTTAAATTTTTTATTTATTTAAGTTTTAATTTATTCTTATTGGAAATAAGTTTAGCATACAATTAAATTAATTAAGTGCTTAATGTATTCAAGAATTTTTGACAAATATTTTTAACTATTGAAATTGCTGCAGACACTAGTTTTTGTCTAAACATTAGGACCTTTTGTAATTACATTGAACCAGTAAAGCATAGCTATCATGTGTGTCATTTAAGACTTGTATGAAAATGAAAAATGAAGTTTTTGTGAATGTTACCATTCTGTTTCCTTCATTGATTCCTTTCATTTTTGAAAGGTGATTGCAATCATTTTTTTGCCATCATTTCTTAGACTAGCTGAATAGGCGCAATAACTTTAATATATATGCATTTACATAACAGTAGGGTTTGATTTTCAAAAATATGTGTAACGTATTGAAATGTGTGCACATTTAAAATGTTCGTTATACATGTAATTGTTTCAAATGCTTCGTAATTTTTTTTTCTATCAGGAAATTAAGCTGTATGCAGCAAGTAATTATAATTCCCCTGATAAATATGTAATATGTTTTGACATGTGGGGTGTTGTCTATCTTCTCTAAATAGAGTATTACATTGTTAGCATAAGGGATTGTGCTCGAATGAAAAATTTAGCTTTATTGAATAACTATATAGATCACTTGGCTTGTTTGTGAAAAACTAATTAATGAGCAGTTTTTCAAAAACATGCCATCCATTAAAAACCTTTAAGTACTTTGACTCCTTATGCACTAGTCATTATGTTTTCTCTGCCCTTCTCACATGGAAAATAATGGGGACTGATTTGTGGTTTACCACTTTAAGATCTAATAAAATATCAAATGGTGTGATTCACAACAATTCTTCTACATAATGTAAGTAAGTGGCTATATCCCAATCTTTGTTGCTAAGATTAAATAATTGCATTGACTCAATAGTATAGGAACAACTAACAGATTAAGAAGTGTCTCAATTCCCATGCTATCACCCACAACACTTTTGGCGGTGAACGTCAGTAAGATATAGAAGACTCACATACAACTTGCCTAGTTTTAGTTAGTTTACTTTTCAAAAGAAGTTAGCAAGACATAAGGTCATTTAAATTTATAGGTCTCATAAAGCAAATAGTTTTTCTGTGTTGTTCCTTATGATCATAATAATTGTACATGACAATTTTGAAATTAAGTACATTATTTCCTAAATGATAAAGTGGCTTGTAGGATTATATAATTCAAATCAGATTTTTAGTAAATTTTTTAGTAAACCATGAAAATAATGTCTAAAAAGTCTCTCTGGTATGATGTAGATAATATTAAACCATTTTTAAACAACTTTAAATGAAAAGTGCCATATGCTAGTTAACTTCTGCCAGATCACCCCTTTTCTAGATTGTCTTGTTATTCCTACCCATAATTAGATTATTGGGTTTCAATTACCAAATTGTAAAAGTTGGTTTGAAGCCCTCAAATTTGAAATTTACTATTGATAACAATAGGGATGTTTCTATAATTATAGCATCAATTACATGTATGTAATTTAAATTCTGAAGTTTTAAAGATAATTAACTTTAACTATTAAAAGTTAAGGGGCAATAAGTTTGCAGAATATTTTTTTGTAAACTTTTCCAAGAATATTTTTAAAAAAGAATTTAATCACAGCAGGCAGTATTAAATACACTCACACCTGATTATTAAGTAGCTTGCCTCAATCAACATACAGGAGTTATTAGTTAAATGCATTTTGGTCTTATTTAAAGGCCCATTACGCGCCAGAAATGCTTTAATATTTATTTCTCTAAAGCTTTTTGTGGTCTTTTACAGTTTCCAAAAAGTTACACATTTGAGATACAGCTGAGCCATTATTTGTTTCTTTTTTTTTGGCATTTAATACAGTACAATGATTTTTTGTAGCAGTTAAAATACTGCTTTGTTTATATTTTGCTACTTTAATGACAAATAATTTCCCATTCAGTGCTACTTTGTTCGTGTGATATGTATCTTAAATGCTCTAAAACTATTATTTATACATCATAAAACCCTTTCTAAAGAAGGCAAAAATAATTCTTTTCTTGGGCATAATGTGCCTTGAAAGGGACTCAGCTGAGATTTCGTGCCTGGACAGGGCTAGATATCATTTTTCGACATTAATGTTCCATTTGATGTAGGTCTAGACCAAAACAGATGTACATTATTTCATTTCAAGACCTCAGTCTGTTTTTCCAGAAAAATAATTCTAATTGTGAAAAATGATCCGAAATTGAAAAGTATTGCATCACTTTTCACTAAATCGGGCTAAGAACAACACAAAAATATGATTTATATTTTTTGGTGTATTTTTTTAATCACTTCTTGCAGATCTTTGCCTGTTTTAAGAAATTCATATTTTAGGCTTTTGTAACTCAGTGGGGTTTGTTCCTTTAATCCCAAGCTTTTATTTAAAATGGTTCATGTACATAGAAAGTGATCAGTTACTTGTTTCACTAGAATAATGACTTTCAGAAACACAGACATGTGGTATACTCCGTAAATGATCTCTTACAATAAAAAATAAATATTAAAAGAAACATTGAAAATGTGATATTTTATTAATATCTTCATTTAATTGATAAATTTAAATTTTTTTAAATACTTAAGCAGATTTTATTTTACGTGCAAATGAATGTCTTTAAAACACAGTAAAAAAGTATGCAAAGTGTATGTGATGTAATTGTTATACAGTGTTATAGAAAAATCTTTAAAGATAAATATATATAATTTTAGTCCTGTCAGCTG